CACAGAGTTTATTCTTGTATTATTATTTATTAACCATTGGATTATTTTCTACACAAACAACTGTACACTGACTTTTGCCCCGCCCTGTATTGTGTCTCCCACGCACAGAGCTCCTCGGACCGGTGTCCTCCATCCTCATCGACTCAAAGTCCACCTCAGGTCTGTGGGTCCTTGGGCTCCTGGGTGCACACTCCTCACCCTTCAGATTCATCAAGTTCAGGCCATTACAGAGGAGGAGAGCTTTCCCCTCAGTTGCAGAGCAGATAACTGACATCTCAGAACTCAGAAAACGCTGGAGACGCCTCATGGCCCAGCCTTACACTGTGCCCGTGCAGAACCACGGGACCGAATGCTCTCTGCGGATGGCCTTCCATAATATGCTCTCTGCTGACCGGCTTCATAATATGAGACCATTTCAAAACAAGTTTAACAAAGGGAAGAAGGGCATTTGCCACAGAAGCATGGTCACATTTTCTATCACCCACTGATCTTTATCTGTAGCTTATCTGAAGTCTTGGAAGTAGCTTTATGGCTTGGCACGTGGTGGCTGTGCCAACATAACCCTGCACCCTCTCCGGTAAACTCCTTCAAGGAGGAAGCTTTCAGTGATCCCAGAGTTGATTACTTGGCATGGGGATCACTTTTTTATAAGGTTAGGGCTGCTGGGATCCGTGGCCCAGCCAGTGACTCATCCTATAACCTTGCCCTTCAAAGGGTTTAGAAGTGGGAAAATCAGGGCATCATTAAAAGCAACTGTGGCTTCTGAACTCCTGGATAAAGGTTAGAGATAGAAAAAATGTAGCTCTCACAGACAATTTAGACGTTAGGAGGTCGCTATGCTCTAAAATTAGTAAAGTGCTCAGGAAGAGAGAATATAGGTTGGCTAAATTGCTTGAGTCCCATTTTCTTTCTTCTCTCTCGCTCTCTTTTTCTCTCTCTCTCTTTCTCTGCCCTCTCCTTTTCCTTCCTTCCTTCCTTCCTTCCTTCCTTCCTTCCTTCCTTCCTTCCTTCTTTCCTTCCTTCCGTCCTTCCTTAAAAAAACATATTGTTGTATCCACCTAACTAGGTTGCTTGTCTATATTGTAAAACATACCCTACTTAGAAACATTTAGTCATTTCTAGCAATCAAAGTCAACAGTATGAAGTTGGCCTCGTGTAGTAACTTTAACAGTGCCCATTAGTAACCCCTACAATATTTGTCTATAATCCAAATTTTCTCATTCCCATTTTTGATCCTGATTGCTGATTGCTCAGACAACTTTGACATATTAGAAATGTCCTTATTTTGGACAATAAAAATATTGTATGGAGCAACTCTTTCCATACACGCTGCAAATACATTTGAACTCATTCTGACCAAGGCACAGAATCTGTGCCTTATGTGGGTCAGGTTGTAATTGGGCGATTCTGCTAGTGAACTCTGTTTAATACAGAGGCAACTAGGATATTAAACTCTGTGCCTGCAATTTCCCTCCCTGTTGTTACTTAACATTTCAGGGGCCCTGTAGGACTAACAGACAAAGGTCTTTCTGGGGCAGAGCCTGGCATTTCAGAAAGTCCTAGCCACTCTCTCCCATATGGGACATTTCTCACAGTCACAGGACCATGACCCTGTCCCTCACAGGCCTTGGTTCACGGCCACAAGTGGCCAAGGCGATAGTTCTGGGACAGAGTCTTCGTAATCTTTTCTTTCTGGGACCTAGTCAAACCCGGGGGATAAGTAGAAACGGTTAAGAGGATTTTCCTACGGGGTTTAAGAAATGTTGCATCTGGCACATGGTAGATAACAATGGTTTGTTGAATTGAATGTTTCAGTGCATCCGCATTAAAACTCGCCCCCGGGAAGCGGATGGAACTGGGTCTGGCACTTGGCATTCTTGCTGCCCTCCTCTCAGAGCCTTGAGGTGGAGCCTTTGTTAACACGTAAAAAATGCAAGTCCGCAGAGAGATGCCTTTGTCCTGGGCAAGCGGCTGCTCCTCGGCATCCCTCATGAATGCATCCTCTCTGCCACAGCAATCATTTTCTTCCTCCCGAATTTTCTCTGACACAAAGGAAACAACCGTTTCTGGGGAATGAAAGCCCGCGCTCCCTGAGGTGAAACATTGCTTTCCTCACCAAGTGCTTTCCTCACCAAGACCCTCTACAAACCGTGGCGTCCAGAACTAGAGGTGCCTGCAGATTTCTGGACAGAGCCCTTGCGAAGCAGTAACTTACAGGAATGATGAAGAATGAAGGTCAAGGGGGAACGGCCCTCCATCAGTCTAACCCAAGTGTCTCAGCAAGAGCCACCAACAGCTCTACCGTCTTTCCTTGCTCTCGGCAAGGAAAGTGAGGCTGGGCACTGAAGTCAGAAGTAGAATCTACACTAATAAAAGAGAAACATGCAATTGGTGTCACTCCGCTACACTCACCAGCCAATCAGAGCGACTATGCAAATTAACCCAACAAAGATGGTGGTTAATTTGCATATGCAGGCACGGAGCAAAGACTGAAGGCTCTGGCCAGACTGCAGAGGCTTGGCTTCTCCGCTGCAGCTGGACCAAAGGCCTGGGTCCCAGGCCGGAGGAAAACCGGTGCCAGCAGCCAGGGGAAGGAAGGCCTATTGTACGAATCTTCGTGCAACGGGCTTCTAGTCTATATATATATAAAAGCCTAATATGCTAATTGTCCCTCCGACCATTCGACCATTAGACCAGTTGCTATGACGCGCACTGACCACCAGGGGGCAGATGCTCCAACCGGTAGGTTAGCTTGCTGCTGGGGTCCGACCAATCAGCACTGGGCGAGATGGGCTCAACATGCCCTGGAGCCCTTCCATGGTTCCTCCATGGCCCCAATCGTGCACCAGTGGGGTCCCTCGGCCTGGCCTGCATCCTCTCGCAATCCTGGATCCCTCAGGGGATTTCAGAGAGCCAGTTTCAGCCCGATCTCCACAGGTCAGGAAGAGGGACCTCACTGGTGCCTGAATCCATGCACTGGGCCTCTAGTAGCTGGAAAACAGTAGCTGGGAAGGAAGGAGGAAGCGTGGGGCCAGGGGAGAGAAGCAAAGGTGAACTTGGCAGGTGGCTGTAGTGTTGGGAAGGATTGCCTCGACTTTAACCCATTTATCCAGACCCTTACTGTGTCTATAAAAAAATAAAATATGGGCAATTCATAGTTGTCTAAATGCAACCAGGCTGCCTGCATGCCACAAGGACAGACCCTTCTTGTTTGTCTGTTGTTGGCTCCTCAATAATAATGTCCCTAACAGTCCAGGAGACTGTTTTCTGTGAAAGAGGGTTCGCCACACATCCCTCTGGGCTTTCAGTGGCGAACACTGGAAATGAAACCCAGCCCGGCTCAGCTTATGCTGCATTTCTCAGCATACCGGGCAATGATGCATTTCCGTGGCGCTGTATCGTGGAGCTCCCAGCTGACCTCTCCGTTTCTCCCCATTAATCACTCCTTGTCTTGTGCTTACGTAGAACCTGGAGCCCCATTTTAGCATTTGTGACATTTTTGGTTCTATTTCCAGCAGATGCTAATGTGTCTCCCACCTGCACTAAACCCACGCTTCCCAGGCTCTTTCGTTCCACGTCTGCACATCAAACATCTGGGGCAGGGGTAGGGTCTGTGACATCACCAGGTCGGGGGTTAATGCATTACAGGGCCTGTCTCAATGAGCTTGGGGTGTGTCGGAAGCTTCGGGCTGCAGAAGATTTAAACGGAAGGACGGTTAAGTGCACAGATGGAGTGCAGGGCACTTCAAATACTGTAACTGTTGGCAGAGTGGAGACAAACTGGTAGCAACATGTGTTAGTCACATAGAGGGGAGAGCGGTGGGAGCCAAAGGCAGGCGGAAATGTCACCGTGTCCTGCTGCTCTAACTGGATGGTGGTCGATTTAAGGTTTTGCAGAGGAGTCGATGTTTTCCACTTGAATCCTCAAGGTTCGGGATATCACAGATGTGGTTTTTTGAGGGGGGAGCGGGGAGCGTAATCCCAGATTTGTTCCTCAAATGCCACTTTGAAGAATAATCAGAGCCCTGCGCGATGGGATCCCCACTGCACTGACCACACACGCGAACAACTCGGAGATGCATTTTGCCGAAAGGCGGCCCGTTAAACACTCTGACAGTGCAAAGCGGAGGACTGGGCCGCACTTGTCCAGCACAGGTTTTGTGACTTAAAGAACTCTTTGTCCTCACACTGCAGAGCAAGGGCAAGTGTGGGCTGTTGGCCAGGCCTGGACGCAGCCTCCGCCCAGCGCTCAGCAGAGCCTGGCATCACAATGGTGGGGCCTGCCAGCCAGGCGCTCACCCGACCTGGGTGCCCGTTCTCCAGGATTTGTCCTTAGTTAGAAACTCTTACTCTGCACTTCAGCTCAAATTTCTGATTCAGAAAAGTGTTTGTTTTCTGCCTTGTCATGCTCTACGTGTACCATCAGCCTTCAGTTTCCACTTCCTGCCTATAAAACAGTTCCCATCCTGCCCGGCCGGGGTGGCTCAGTGGTTGAGCATCAACCTAGGAACCAGGTCACCGTTCCATTCCCGGCCAGGGCACAGGTCCGGGTTGTGGACTCGATCCCCAGCGGGGGCTGTGCAGGAGGCAGCCGATCAATGATTCTCTCTCATCATTGATGTTTCTATATCTCTTTCCCTCACCCATCCTCTCTGAAATCAATAAAAACATATTTTAAAAAATAGTTCTCATTTCCAGAACACATCTGACAGGTCTTCTCAGAGGAAGCCTAATTGGTGCAGCACTGGCCTTGCTGAAAATGAATGGAACTGGGGCTGAAAACTCATGAGAAATCACCGTCTTTGCCTACGCATGTCTGGGGTTTAGGAGACTGACTGTCACTCCATTTCTGAGCGACTGAGCAGTAAGGTTGTGTGATGTTTCCCTGAAGGCTCTGCAGTCTTGCTGTAGGGTCATCACAGGGCCGGGCAGGGGGGACTGGCTCAGGGGGGACCAGTCGAGTGACCGCGGGCACGGGTGGCGGCCCAGCCCTGACTCACCTCTCAGCCGCTTCAGCCTCTGCTCCCGCCTGCGTCTCCGCACCACCAGCAGGAGCACGAACAGCAGCAGGACCCCCACCAGGATGCAGGAGATGGTCACCAGCATCTTGAGCCCCGCGTTGGTCGTCAGCCCTTCTTCGCTTTGGACAACGGACTTAATGAGTGGAGGGATTGTACCTGAAAGCAGGGCCGTGATGTTAGATGGCTGTTAATGAGGTCGGCATGGCGGAGTTTTAGGGATGACGGGTTATAACAATCGCGCCATGTGATCCGAGGTGTCGGCGGTGATGGGGGGTGAGGGGAGTCTTTATCTAGGTTCTCGCTGACTGATCTACTTGCTCACTCCCTTCCTTCCGCCTGATTTGCAACTTCGTCTGCAGCACATCAGCTCGGGATCGGCACCAAGGGCAAAGCGCACTGCTTTGAAAGAGACTTCATTTTGCAACGTCCTGCTGGGTGCAGAGAGTAGCACAATGTCCAGGCGAGATGCTTAAAAAAGCCACATGCACTTACTTGGCCTGCAGTGCCACCCCTAGCGCCATGAGAGAGGCCAGTTTGGAAAATGGCACATCAAGAAGGAACAATAGTCCTGGCAAGTGGACAGAAGCGATCGGCAGGGAGACTGCACCAAACACCCCGGCTTAAAGATGCCAAGTCCCCTTCCGTTTGGTTATCCACTTGCTTTTTAGCACAGGTGCAAGACCAAGTGTACTTTAGAAACTCTCATTTTAGGTAAAAGAGCTTCAGACAGCTTTTCCGAGGGGAGCCATCCAGGTACCCAACGCAGGCTACTTCTGGACCAGACACTTAATCAGCGCTAGGACATTCAGATTATTTAGAATTATAAGGAAACACCGTAAGCTGCTTTCTATGAAGAGGCTGAATGCAATGGTGCAGAGATGCAAACACAGGCATCCTTCTTTCTGTAGCACCCTCCATCCCACTGTATTCTCCATGTCAAACAAGGGCCAGGAAGCCCGTGGTTTAGAAAAATGTGCAATAATACACTTTCGCCTTGAACAATCATGACCGTTAGCTTGCACTTAGTAAGCAGGGCAGGGAGGACAGAACCCAGTTCTCTATGTGATCAGGACGCATGTCCTTCCAACTTGGCAGTGTTTGGGGCTGGAAACCCAAGTCTGCAAATGCTCAGAGCCCAGGGAAGAGGCACAGAAGGGATGCGGGTGAGGATGGGTCCGCAAAGTCAAGGCAAACACAAGAAAGAGCAGAGGCGTTTGGCGAAAGAAATGGCCGAGGAGAGAGGCAATAAAGAAATGGAAGAATCTGAAATCTGACAGGTGCAGATGTGAGGCTCATTGTTAATGGTTGTTTTTCCCAAAGTGAAGAGAATTCTTTGGGTGGATGTGACCTGAGAGATATTAAAGCTCCATGTCTACGAAACTGGTTCAGAGCAACCCATCATCTTTCGCAAGGAAAATAGAAAAATGTACTCGTATTTCTTAGTGTAATAAAATCATTTCCGATTTCAGGAAATTAAATGCAGCTCACAGGACTTTCTCATGATTATAATCTAAGATCCTGGATAAGTGAGAGCATGGCATTTTTTATGTGTAGAAGACACACTTTTAAAATCTGCAGAGCCCTGTGCGAGTGAGAACCAGTTTCTCATTCTGCGCGCGAGCGGTTTCTAATTAAACAATTCGCTGCAAACACATCACCGACCGGGGCATTGACTGCTCTGGCTTCTGCACAGATTACAGAGAAGCTGCTTGTCCCTGTGATTATCGGAAGTCAATTACTGAAAGTCAATAATCGAAAGTGAGAAATCTACTTGCTACCTACATGGGTCCCTGCTAGCAAAGGACTTAGGGGAAGCCTCAGATACTAAGGAAAGTGTTCGTAAGTGTCCACATCACTTACTGTGTAAACTGTGATGGGCAGGGAGCATGTGGGAAGCGCTCCTTTGCCGGTGGGATGGGGACAGCTTTGAATGATGTCGCGTGTAACCGAGGGCTGGAAAGCTAGAAGAACATCAGCCCAGCAGGATAACGGTCACTGTCCAGGAGCTGGGCAGGCTGTCCCAGGGCTGTGGGGCAGCGTGCCTGGCACAGGTGGGCCCAGGATGGTGCGGCCAATACCAGACAGCTGCCACCCGAGGTCCTTCCTATATCCGTGGGCCCCAGGCCTGGAATGCTGGAGACGCAGCCATTGGTCGTCATCCGGGACAATCCAAGATAAGACGTCCAGAGGAGGGTCCCAGGCCACCTCACCTCATTCATGTTCTGAGGGTCCTCGGGTTCATGGACCTTCTTGTCTTAGGACAGGATGGCCTGTATCCCACGGAAGTTACAGAGCTTTAATGAAACAAGGTCCCAAGTGCACATAGCAGAGGAGGGAACACCCCTTAACCTGCCCTGTGGTAAGTCAAGTATTGGGGTGCTTGCTCAGGCTCAGACTTTCTAGGTTAAGTCACCCACCACCGTGGTCTGCTCTGATCCATGAAGACTGGACAGAAGGCGCTGAGGAGCTAAGCCAAACATTCTGACACACTGCAGCCGGTTTTGTCTTGCGATTAAAGCCCTAATTCACCTGCCAGGTTGCCGGGACTGCTACTGGGGCTTTCTAAACCTCCCCAGACGCAGGCCCTCAATGCTGCCACCTTCCAGCTTCACTGGGTTGGGCCCTTGTTCAAATACCAATAAATGGCCCTCGAATAGGAGCTGCAGAAATCAAGGCTAACGATACATCATTAACGATACAGCATCACAAGATACCTCACCCGGTTTTCATAAAGCTCATGCAAACTTCCTATGTGTGTGTGTGTGTCTGTATATGTATGTGTGTGTATGTGCATGCATGCACATGTATTAGCATCCTGTGACATAATTCTATTCCCATCAGTGCCTCTATTTCTGCTCAGTGACTAACACAAGCCTGTTTATCATGAAAAACTGGTTTTGCACATGCAGTTTAAGTGCTTAATGAGAGCAAAACAGAAAGTTGTATGTGGATTGGGATGGGGCGTGGAAGGGGTGGGAGACAACAAAAGCAATGTTAGCGCACAGTCATAGACAAGGCACAGAACCACGTGGGAAGAGTCCTTCAACCTGAAGAGCATCCTCCTACACCAAGACTCCCTAATGCCAGTCCCCTTGGCCCTCGTCCCTTCTCTCTGGATGACAGCCCTGGTCATGTGGGTCTAATGAGCTAGGGAGCCCTGGAGGGAGGGGCATTGAAGGCTAATGGAGTCTGTGGGCAGGGGTCCCTCTGTGCCAAGGATGAATGTCAGATGGGAAAGAGACAGTGAGCACGTGCACATGTCCCAAGACACAGATAGGAGGGCGGTAGAGCCAGCTTACTGCCGTCGTAGTTGAGCGTGGCGAAGTTGGCCTGCTTCTCCGCACAGCCTGCGCTGTTGCACACCCTCATCTGCAGCTCATACCACGTGGCTTCCTGCAGGTCGTACAAAATGTAGGACTTGGAGAGAGAGGTCCGCTGAGCTGTGGTCCAGACCGTGGTCCCAAAGGGTCTGTACTCGAGTGTGAAGGAGGTGATGGGGCAGCCGCCGTCATTCCAGCCAATGAGGTTCAGCCTCACGCGTGTGGTGTTGATGCTGGCAAAGAGCTCTTGCTCCTTCGAGAACTGGGGCTCTGTGGGAGGAGGCACAACGGGATCAGCTCATGGGACAGTGAATGAGAGCCGCCAAAGGCGTCATGTCCCCCTCAGGCTCCTTTCTCCACCTAGGCAGAGAGCTCAGGACAAGTAGGGCTCGAAGGCCACTCCCAACTGGTCCACCATGGATAGGGTCCTTATGGCTCAGTGGGCTGTCTTCTCTAATGACCGAGGTGTGAGAGGGAGCATTGGGTGGGTAAAGGTCATTTTCCTGTATCTTCTGGTTCCCTGAAGAACAATGCAGTTGCACATATGCGTGTCCTTGAGTGGCTCCCAAGGACCTTCTGCCGTGGGCGCACCTGTCTCCGGGGGTGACCTGACTCCAGAGAAGACAGGGTTGGATTTGGGAAATACCAACAGGGATCCCTCACTATCCGAATGCTTCATGCTGGAGCCCAGAGACCTCATGGCATTTCTGCATAAATCAATCCCTCATCATGCGAACCCTCACCAGGTTATCTGAAACTCAGGTGCCCAAGAACATCTCTACCTGCTCGATTCTCGTGCCCCTGCCATCCAGCCCACAGCACTGGTTCAAATGCAGATGCCAGGGAAGCCTGCAAAGACCCCCTCTTTACCTCCTCACTTACCCTCCCCTACAGCTATGGCCCTCCCTCTTCCTGGGGTCCCAGGGCTGCAAATTTCACTGTAAGATGCAATTTCCCTTGGGGTTCATCTCCTCGAAGGTCCATTGTTTCAGATTAAAATCCCCACACCTCACATGAAAGGTTAACAATCTATCCCAGTCACTTCCCACCTGAAGAGCAGGGTCTTTGAGGAGACACGAAAGTTAAAGACAGAAAGGGTCTAGGGTGAGAAAGGGAGAAGATCACACTAGAAGGTCAAAGGGTAAATATCATATTTCATAGATACTTTATGTTGGCACGAAAGCCCTTGCTTTTCAAATGACACTTCTTTTAGCTACAGATGAGATATTAAAAAAAACAACAAAAAACCAGGATACTCCATAAGGACGAGCCATCCCTCTCATTACTCTGTAACCCAGTCAAACCCATGTTGGGAATAACAGAGCTTAAACACACAAACAAACATGCAAATATATGATGCACTTGTGATGCCAATGTCCCCTTCCATCTGGAAAACAAAGGAACTCTAGAAATAAGAAGAAGGCATACATACCTTTCCCTAATGTTTTCGCTTCTATGATTTCACTTATGCGCCCGGGGCCCACTCCATTTTGCGCGGTGAGTGTGAACTTGTACCAAGTACCGCATTTCAGGTTTTCCAGGCGATAAGAACGTTCGCTTGGGCTGATGGGAAAACTTCCCCACTGCTCACTGTTATCCTCCGAGTATTGCAATATGTAGCCTTCAGAAGACAAGAAACGCATTCAAGAGAGTGTTTTTTGTTTCTACCAGCAGTCGGCTTTTGTTTGCATTTTTTAAAATATATTCTTTTTAAATAACATATTTTTGTTGATTTCAGAGAGGAAGGAAGAGGGAGAGATAGAAACATCACTGATGAGAGAGTCATTGATCAGTTGCCTCCTGCACGCCCTCTACTGGGGATCAAGCCCACAACCCGGGCATGTGCCCTTGACTGGAATTGAACTCGGGACCCTTCAGTCTGCAGGCCAATGCTCTATCCACTGAGCCAAACTGGCTAGGGCCGATGTTTGCATTTTGACAGGAGTTCTCAGAACACTCACATCTTGGGAGAACATTGGATCTCTTCTGGTCCCAGGAAAGTTAACCCAGGCCTGAGAAGTGCCTGGTGATGTAATGATTAGTGAGGGATTTAGGCATTACTATGGTGGCGTTGTTGGGTGGTGTGGTGAGAATAAAACCACTTTCTGTCCGTTCCCTTTTAGGAGGTGGACTGGGCAGAGGGAAATGGACACTCAATCCCTAAACAGCTTCCCTTCAGAGCCCACGCGCCAGATCCTTGGGCATGAGCACGGTCTGAAGCTGAGCTGTTGTTAAGAGACCAAAGCTCTAGGAAAGGGATATATTATCAATGGTGGTGGGGATCCTCTCTACCACCCTCTACTCATTCACAGCCACCCAGAGAATCGGCTCCGAACCCTGCAGCCCTCCCAGCATTGCGATGGGAACCTGGCTTCTCCTTGGTTTGAAAAACCCCTCTAATACATCACATGTACTTTATGCACCTTTACTTCTGCTACAGGTAACAACAACTGGCCATTCTTTGAGCTCTAACTATGTGCGAAGCACCATCCTCAGCCAGTTACTGACATTACCTCATGTAACCTAAGAAGTAGTGATTATTTCCGCTAAGGCAGCGGTTCTCAACCTGTGGGTCGCGACACCTTTGGCAGTAGAACGACCCTTTCTCAGGGGTCGCCTAAGACCATCCTGCATATCAGATATTTACATGACGATTCATAACAGTAGCAACATTACAGTTATGAAGTAGCAACGAAAATAATTTATGGTTGGGTCTCAACATGAGGAACTGTATTGAAAGGGCCAGAAGGTTGAGAACCACTGCTCTAAGGTCCAGAGGAACACTCTGAGGTCCAGAGAGGTTAGGGGACCATCCCAGGGTCTGATAGATTCAAACATCAATGTCAGAATCTAAAGCTCATGCTGCTTGCCCCTGTGGTCACTGGAACATTCCTCCTTGGTATGACCTTCATCCCTGTTACCCCAACCACTTTCCCGGGGTGAACAAATCCTGTCTGCCCTGTCCCTGTCCCCTGTCTCCTAAATGGTCACACCCAGGCAACCAGGGTCTAGCCTGCCTGGTGCATGGTGTCCTTATACCCATCTTGCCCATGAACTCCATTTTAACACTGGCAAAGTGCTGCTCACTTCCACACTACGGAGCCGACTAACCCACACTGGCAGCAGCATCATTTGTCCAAACTTGTCACATGGAGATCACCATCTCTGACTCCTCCTCCCAGGTATGGTCAGTATCTTCCCTACTCCTTCCTCCTCGCCTTCCCTCTCACCCTCTGCAGCCTTGGTGTCCGTTCTCTCTCCCGAGCCTCATTTTTTCTTCTGTGCCCCTGATCTTCACTCCTTGAAGCTCCTTTGATACCTGACAAATCTGGACAAATCAGGTGCCTGATGATTCTGTGTGCTCCTGCTCCCGCCATCATATCCTGACTTCTGCTCCAGCTCTGTCCAAACCGCCTCCTTGGTGCCCGGCACATCCTTGCTATTGGACTCTCCTTCTAAGCTCCTCCATCTCCACCACTTCTAGGAAGCTCTTCTAACCTTTGGTGATGGGAACCCCCATGCTAATGGCATTGGCCACCACTGTGTTTGGGGGATCCCTGGTTACCTTTTCTTGAAAACTCTTCATTTCTAAAACCAGCTTCATCTCTAAGCCCTTCCGCTGGGACACTCCTGTACTCCCTCTCCCTATACTCCCTCTCCCACGCTCCACCACCTTCAGGACCAACACTTCATTTTCTTCCCTTTCTTTCATTTCATTTTAGCCGAGAGCACTAGGGCCCCTTGAACTCTTCCCTCAGTGCCCCATTCCCCCCCACAAAAAGGTTCTCTAACCAGCCTAGAACCTCATGTTACTAAGGAGGCTGTTTTCACTCATCTTCTGACTTCCTGCTGCACCCATCCCACTAGTCACCAGTTCTTGTCATCTGTGATCCGCTTTTCTTCCCAGCTGTCCAGAGTCACTTGAGGAAGTCATTGTGCTGTGATAACTGTGACCACTACAATTTGTGCTGTTTAGCTGCAGCTGGGGCCACCCTCCCACTCGGCAATGACTTTGTTCATCTATTAATGACTCTCTGTGCATTCACACGGCAGCTGTTACAAATCTTACCCACACTCCTCAAACCCACAAATGATCCTCACCCCTAATCACCCAACTATTTTTAAATAATAATCTCACCTCTTTCTTTCCTAAAAAAAGGGAAGATCCTCCCCTTCAGCCAGAGGAGTGCTAATAAATGTTTAACAACTGGCTATTGAGGGAAAAAAAAGAGTCCTGTTTGATAGCATTTCTCATCTGTGTGGTGTGTAAACACCCCGGCCTGGCTGCAGCCTGAGTGCAAAGCTGGGAAGGGATATGGCACCCAGCTCGTGCACTGGAAGGAGCTGGGAACAGGGGCTCCAGCGCCCACTGGCTTCACCCTAAAATGCCCCCGTATTTCCAGTTGACTTCTCACCCTTCCTGCTTCCTCACAGAGAGAATATCCTCTGCCTTTGGGAATCTGAGCCTTCCATCCTCTCTCACCCCGTCCTCTTTGGTCAGTCACCCAGTCCTCACTCTGTGCATCTGCAGCCCCTTCAGCTGGAATGTCTCCCTTTCCTTGGTCTACAACTTGCTCAGAATGATGCTTTCCAAACTCCACTAATGCTAGAATTACCACACTATCTCATTCCATCATTATAAACCTCCTTTATTCCATTCTACTATGCACTCATTGCAAAAGCTCTGGACAAATCAACCATTTTCTATCTAAACTCCAAGTTCTCCAACATTTATTCCTGTACAAGGACAGTAACTGTGGTTACTTGAATGAATGATTGAGTACATGAATGAATGAATGATATTGTATTGACAACATGGGGAAGAAATGGTATGTAGAATCTCAGGGGGGAGGTTAGCACATTTGTTTTTGCTTTCTATTCTGCATTTGTTACTCTTGCACTCAGACAGGAGACACACGATGATTTTGCGAATGGGATTCTGTGGGTGAACAATGCATTTCAACAAACACCATCACAGTAGATGTGGTTTCTTGTGGAGGTAATGGAAGAATTCATCATAGGATGTATTTTTGGGAAGAATAAACGTAAGATTATTGGATGAGGCTGTGTCACTTTACAGCCTGTGGATAATGACAATTAATCAATGATTGTGGACAACCTATTCCTTTTTACCTCTGATCGAGCTGCCCCCATTGTCCCCAGGGAGCCAGGAGAGGGTGATGGAAGAAGATGTGGTTTTGGACACTGTAAGCCGAGGCTGATCTGGTGGCACTAGACAGGAAACAGTTGTTAGAAAACAAGAATTAGTTTCTCACATCTTTAATCTTCCTGAACAGTCATTTACCAAGTCACGTCTATCAGCCATTCATTAAAGAAGTGTTCAAGGTTGCCAAAATATGCAATTCACTTCTGTCAAGATGTCTATTTAGTTGATATCCTGGGCTAAAGAGATAGAGCAGAGTGAATCTATTATTTAAAGGAAATTCAACGACATTTCTACTTGGATTTATATCTAACTCATTTCCTCACCGATTCCTTGAATTTCTGAGTTGCTCATCACTAATTGAAATCTTCTTTAAAGTTACTAAGGAGACATGCGGTATTTTACCCTGTATTTCAACCATGATTCAAGTGAGAAAGATAAGTGGCATCCACTTAGCTGTTCTCTCCTCAGTGATGTGAAAGAGGGAGGACAAGAACGGCTTGGGGGGAAAGAACTACAAAATTTTCCACTTTTTGTAGCTACTCCCCCAAGACACAACACACACACACACACACACACACACACACAGACACAGACACACACACAGACACACACACAGACACACACACACAGACACAGACACACACACAGACACACACACACACACAGACACACACACAGAGACACAGACACACACACAGACACACACACAGACACACACACAGACACACACACAGACACACACACACACACACTGAGCTCCGAAAATCCAAGGTGTGCCACTGAGCAGCAGCATCTGAATTACAATGCTCATAACAGGGTTTGAAGATTGCATACTTTTAACCAATGGGTTTTGATCTTATTTTGGATTAGCTCTGAGGATAATAACGCCAGAGAAATTCAGAATCAGGTTATCCAAATTATAGTGACAGCTTCCCATAAAATGTCCTTTTCTTTACTTCTGAGGGCAGCTGGATATATGAACCCAAAGGCATGAAAAGTAGACCCATCTCTTTCAAGTCACAATATGGTGTCTATCTTCTAAAATGTTCTGGAGTTCTCCTGACTTCCAAGTTAAAATTTCAGATCAATTTTGCATTAGTTTTTTAAATAGTTATAAAAAGTAGTAACTATTAGTTTTTCTTCTTCCCTTCCCTTCTGCTGAGGACAATATTGATTTTATTTTTACTTGCCATGATTATTGCTGTGACAATACTTAAATCCGAAGATTTCTTTACCAATAAAAATCAGATGCATTCACACAGGAACCCAGTCAATGGCCATTTGGGATTTTACACTTAACTTTAATTTACAATCTTAAGTTTGTTGTGTACTTTTATGTATGCTAAGAAAAACTCCACATGTTTTATTAAATACACAATTAAATATTACAGCAATATAGAATTTAGTGTCCTTTTTATATATTGCATATAAGAATTGAGTTAATCAGCAGACATCAAGGGCCTCAGTTCAGACTTGTTTTTTGTGTTTTCTGGGTTACACTTATACATATGCAGAGTGAACCATGCGATTCATGGAAGTTATGGAGAAGGGCTTTGTCAGCGATGCTCACGTGAAGGAATAGGAGACCAGCTCTCTATCTGCAAAAATGGAATGAGTGTGACCTCTGGAATCATGAATGCTTTCTAATTTCTTTGTTTCATTATATTTTCCAGAATGAACATATGTACTTTTTGCAACATGAAAGCAGCAGTGAGCTTTTTCTCAAGGCTGATTTTTAAATGTGCTTCACCTGCCTCTGCCTACAGGCATGCATACGACAAATATCATTACAAAGAGTCCCGCCGTCCTGTACCTTGTACTTGTAAGTTCAAAATGATCTCGTCGGAGCCCCAGTTGTTATTGGCGATGCAGCTGTAGTAGCCGGAATCCTCCGCCTTCACTGTGCGGATGACGAAGCTCCCGTTGCTGAACACGCTCCTCCGCCCATCAATCGTCACCAGGCTGGGCGTCCCGTTACTGCCTCACAGGAAGAAAAAGGCACAGATTAAAGAAATTACAATCCAGGTTAGCTGAGGTTGGGGAAGAGCATAAAGACTCTCTTTGAAGCAAGCAATGCATTTGGATTCATAAGAACTAAACTGTGATTCTATCATGAGAACAATCAGCTGAGTTGTGTTTTTTGTAAAAAATGCTATTCTGACGTGAGTCCCTGTCCAGGGCCTGGATTCACACATGTCCCTGCCTGCCGTGTCCTCCACCACATAGACACCTGTGACTGCCTCTTCCTGGGGATTCCTTCTGTGGGGACAAGTGCCATTTGACCAAGTCATACTACGAACTGGATTTTGGGGTCTCTTCTAGATTCACTTAAAGTTACAGTTGTTCATGATTTTGACATTAAAATGGACAGTGGTATGTCAAGGGGGTGACAAGTTGACCCTAGCATGAAGAGAGTTCCCTCATCATCATTCCCAAGGCCACAGTGGCAATTGTCCAGCCGTGTGGGGTCACCTCAGGGAGAATGCCATCTGACCTTGGGAGCTTACATCCTTCCTTTGGATGAACTGACTTTAAAAGAGATGAGAAAAATGGTCGCTGGGCCAAGACCATTATTTCAATAGTTGATGTCTTCTGAGTGCTTTTATTTGAAAATAGGTACTCTTCTGAATCCATTTTATATCAAATCTTTATGCTCTCTAGTGAATTCTCAATCCTTTAAGTCCTAATTTTTTCCTTTGAATAGAGATGAAACACTTTTAAAAAGTTACATGGACACAAAACATCTCACCCACTTTTTCCCCATCTTCACTGCTATTATTTTAATAATTACTTGTGGGAATGAAGCCAGATTTTACATTAGCAAAGGCCTTATTTCTTACAGTCACTTCTCAGAGCGTTTGAGTTAGGGCTAGTGGGTCCATTATCTCGGAAGGGGAAGAGATGAGTGCTAAGTCTTACATACCCTTGGGCGCATTCATCTCAGTTATATGAGAAATTTACATGAGAAGGTACAGAAAATGTCCACAGAGGACACTGGGTTGGTTAAACTATTTTCCTTATAATCCTTCTTTTATGAACTTAAAGGCTCTGCATTTAGGGAGGATTTACATAGCCGATCAGTTCCTTTTAGTGCTGGAGCCCAGGTCCCTCCCCACCCCCTCCTCTCTATCTGGGAAGAGTGGGTAGGTTTTGCAGCTCTCACTGGACCCAACTCAGTGTCTCCGGTGCAATGACTCAGAGCTCCGCTGAAGGCACACATTGGGTTACTGGTTACCTGTCTTTCATCCACTTCACCGCAGGCGCAGGGTCCCCCACAGCTTTGCACGGCAAGGCGATGTCCTTCATCCACGGGGTCGTCACCGTGCCGCTGAAGGTCAGGATTCGCGCAGGAGCTGCATGCCAAACAGAGAAGCCCGATTAACGTGCAGACCCGCCCACACAGAGGTCAAGATGACTTTCCCCAACACAGCAGCACCCCAGCAAGGGGCCTGCAGCCCTGCCCGTGAGCATCCCTGTCCACGCCATTCTCTGGCACCTGGGTTTGAAGACGGCATTTTCACTGTGAGAACATACACACAGCCGAAAATCCCCACTGTGGCATTTACCCCTTCTATTGACTAAACATGAGGAGCCCACATTAATTATTTGGGGCTTCAGAAGCCCAGCAGCTCCATCCCAGGCTGTGTTTTCTATGAGTCCAATTATTTTTCAAAACACTTTATTAAACAATTCATCTCAACACCCAAACTGCACATTAAAAGATACTTTTAATATCAGAGAGAACAGGCAATACAAAGCATAAAGCTCTGAGGGACGGGAAGAAGTAAAACTGGAACAACTCCTATCGGTCAATGTTCCGGCCTTTCCTGGTGTTATTATATCCACTTGATCTTCAGCACGACCACACGTTAAGGACAATGCGCGTTCTCAGAGAGGCCTCCCTCGAAGGACAACCCTTTGCTCAGGACAGTGATGATGAGGCTCCAACAGGGTGTCTGTCAGGGCAGCTGGCCCAGGGCGCCATTCCCAAGTGGCAGGAGGGCCCAGAGGTAGAGAGGAAAACCTGGGGTGGACCTGTGGCAGCAGAGGCCTCCTTGCAGACGGGAGGGCAGCATAGACAGGTTCCTGTGCCACCTTCTTGCATGAGACACAAAAGTTAAAAGAGGCACCAAGATACCCGCCTTCTAGAGGCAAAGCTAGTGTCCATCCCTTGCTGTCCCCTGGGACACTGCTTTCTGGGACGCTCCCTCCAGAAGCTCAGCCCGGCCACATCTGGCCCGTGACATCTTTGCTCCAGCCTCCATGCTCTCTCTTTCTCTATTTACAAGGCTGGAGATGAAGGACCCCAGGACTTCAAATCCTGCGATGGAAGAAGCCTGGATCCCTGAGTCACCACATGGAATGAGCCACCCAGGAGAGCCACCTGTCCAGAAATACCTGCGCTGGGCTGACTGTGTTTTTATGCTGAGCCTCTGAAACTCCCGGGATGCCGATTCCACAGCCAGGCACCCCTGTATCCTCGACATAGTGCCAACATGCAATGGGCACTCCAAATCACTGACCAAATTACCAAATGGTATTTCATCTCCCCAGACAAGTCCTACTCCTCTGGAAGTGGCCAGCTGCCAGCTGTGACTCCTCTGAGCATGTGACATCCTCCTGCATCAGCCAGGCCGGTTCTGGCTATGCCTGGAGACGTAACACTGGACACACAAAGTAGGGAAGAGGTAGAGCTATTGCTACTCCTATGTCCATGTTGCGGTTCCTTTTTTACCCCACAGAGCAGTCCTTATGCCCAGTGATAACCAATGTTTTCTAAACGGTAGGCCAGCTGGATAGCATGACCAAAGAGTACAACTGACAAAAAAATCCACTAATTACTTTTCTTACCAACTCTATGCTTATTTTCTATCTGCCTTCAGCATGTGACACCACTGTGTTCCTTCCCCTCGCTACGCTGTGCTGCTTCTTTCTCAGCTCTCACAGTTATGAGCACAAGAGCTTGTGGAGGTTAACACTGGATCTTGGCAGGTTTATTTTCTCCTGCAGGCACCTCTAACCTTATTAGTAATCAACTGCCAATGTGATATATTCACAAGTCAGGGGGCACCTCCTGCTGGCCTGGGGTTGCGATGTAAATAGCTTTACTCATGAGGAGTGGTAATTTAGGGGGACCCCAAACCCCGATGGCAGCAACGACCAGGGGAAAATAAGAATATTCTGTGCCTATATGTACGTGCCTTTGAGAATCAGTATAACATCTCAGGGTAAAGACCAGCATATTCACTTACGGGAACTTTTTGTTTGGTGACCCCAACTTCCCATTTCTACGCAAGGTCTTTGTTTACAGCATTCTATTAACGGGAGGAGAGCACGCGATTTTCTCCTGTTTGTAAGGTTCCAGGTTCTATAGACCAAATAGAGACCTTTCCGTTTAAGAAGTGTGATACCCGGTTTTGAGGCAAGTAGAACTTCCTTGGGAGGCTGCTCTGTGGTGATTTTCACTACACAAAAGGGTGAGTGGGGTCCCCTTTTTCTAATTCTCCCAAAGGGACCTGAGCTGTAAGGCCACTCACCCTTAGCACGGTGCTCACCTCTAGGAGGATTCTTTTCTGATTTTCCCCAAAGCCCAGTGCCAGCCACCAGCAACACTATTTCCTGGGCTGAAATGTGGTAACATGTGATATTCTGGTTTACTTGATGTTTAGGGCATCGTAAGCTTTAGTTCAGGTAGAACAGAGACTTTAAAAATAGCCCAATCACAATGGCAAACGCTATCCTTACTACGGTGGCACACCTTTCGCTAACGGCTCTACCGTGATGATTTCACTGCTGTTGCCTCTGCCGGCTGAGGTCACGGCCACCACCCAGACGCTGTACTGCCGGTTCCGGCTCAGGTTCGGGATTCTGTAGGAAAATGAGTCGGGAGAGGCTTCGAACTCGCTGATCACCTGTGACAGGAGACACAAATGTTCCCACATTCAAGAAGGCAAAAGGCACAAACGAATATCCCAAAAAGAATGGCTATTCACATGTTATTTATCATCAGAGTCAAAATCCTCCTCTAATCCTTCTCCAAAGGCTGGGTTTGCATACATAGGCTATGGCTATGTCTCGCTGTAGTCTACATTGCTCTATGAAGCAACTTTGACAGCCACGGGTGAGCAAATTAACCCTTAACATGATGAAAACGGACCACACATCTGTTTTCAGCTGAGATGGAGTAGCAAAAACCAGATTTAGTTTTCTACCTGAAACCACCAAAAAAACACCTGTTTCAACGGCTTTGCACACCAGGAAGTGAAGGACAGTGATCTGTGAACAAAGGAGGTGAGGCATCGACTGCAGAGATTTTACATTTCTGTGCGAGTTTCCAGGCTGGGGCCCAGAGAAGGGAGCCCAGGGGGAGCCCGGCCGCTTCCCTGAGTTGAGGAGACAGAGCTGAGAGACAGGGAGGGAGCTGGATCCATGGGACAGAGGACTGGGGAGAGGGGAGCTGCAAAGAGAGAGAACTCTGGGGATGTGAAGAGGGTCCCTCTTGGGTGCACAGCCGAGCAGATCTATGCGTGCGTGTGAGGAACTATCGGAGCCAGGAAAGAACCACCTGGAAGGACTGGAGGTCACAGCAGCCAGCATTCATCCAGGGCTGGGAACAGTGCCTGCCCCCACCAGCCAGACTGAAAACCCTAGAGACTGTCAGGCGTTGGACACAGAGCGTGAGGGCCTTACCTCGGTGGCAGGGAATAGTTAGCACTAGATTCAACACCGCCTGGTGCTGCCCGACAAATATGAAAAGCAAGGCTCACGAGAGAGGCTGAGCCAGGAATAGGACGTCCTTGCTGAGGGATGTGTACATCTATATAACGTGTCTCTTCTCTAGCTGCTTTTTAGGGTTTCTTTTTTTTTTAAAATATATTTTATTGATTTTTTACAGAGAGGAAGGGAGAGAGACAGAGAGTCAGAAACATCGATGAGAGAGAAACATCGACCAGTTGCCTCCTGCACATCTCCTACTGGGGATGTGCCCGCAACCAAGGTACATGCCCTTGACCAGAATCGAACCCGGGACCCTTCAGTCCGCAGGCCGACGCTCTATCCACTGAGCCAAACCGGTTTCGGCTTTAGGGTTTCTTTTCATTACCTAAGGGTAGGAGGGGGGTTTGAACTCCAAGGAAACCATGCAGACAGCTTGGAGCTTAGAAGGACATAGAGATTGGGGAATCAAAGGCCAGCTGCAGCCCTGCTCACAGCAGCAGAGAAGGCTGTGCTGGGACTGGCTGTCATTTCCAGTTTGGTGGGTAAGGGTGCTTACACGTGGATCCTGCAGGAGAGAGCAAGACTGGATGTCTAGAGAGGGATGCTCATGGGCATGAGAGGCCTCCGGTGGAGTTGTGCACTGCACATGACCTCAGACTTGTGTTAAACAGCGTCACTTATTGATAAATGGTGCAGAATTCAACCATCGTGGACACGTTCAAGAGGTGGCCACATTTAAGAGAAAAAGAGCTAAATGGGGAAAAAAAATTAATGGGAAGCTCACTCCGGACAGTAAAGCATATCTGTTTGATTAAATCTTTCTCCTTAATGCTCAGTCCAGAATGCTTGTTCCGTGAAAGAGGGATGAAGCAGGTTAGCTTCCTTATGAAATGTTTCCTCAGTACTTTAGTATGAGCTATGAAACCATGGATTATATTTACAATTCATTAATTGTCTTTTTATTGGATACCAAGTTTCCCCACACAACGATCTAATCTTGTTTAAATTGACTTGCTAATTTCTACATGCATTTCAATATGCGACAATCCTTTCCAAATACTGGGAATGTTCAATGAGAAGAGATCGATTTTATTGCCAGATTTCTCCTGACACTTCAGCGAGGCAGATACATCAAAGACTGTGAAGCCTTAAATGAGCGTGGAGGGGTAGAGAGAAACAAAGCAGAACTTGACTCTCTAGGGCCACAACATAAAGAATTGCAGGGTACAGACAACGGTTCTTAGGGGTTAGAGACTCAAATGGGGTAGAAGACATGTGTGAGGAAGGGAGAAAGACACTTTTTTCAATATTTAAATACCTAAATGTTGAATTTTCTTCTAGGAGATCTTTAACTCTCTAGGCTCATCATCTTTAGAGTTGACAGGGATATTAGCCATTCTAGAAGATTTCACTGTGTCCAAACTGTGAATTAATCTAGAATGCATGAATATGATTGGGCTACACTTTTGTTTTAAGGGAAGACTTAAGTGTTAGTTCAGGACCCATGGAAATCCAGAAGCAGTCAACATTAAGAAAACTTTGGTGCCAGGCATATGACTTGCGTAGCCGTGGTTCTTGATGGGGAATTCTACCCCATGGCTCATTTTTAACTCAGCTCTCTGCCTGGCACAAGGAAGGAAACAGGGCATCTGTGGACGGGGGTTGCCAATTAGCCTGTGCCTATCACACATTCCTGTTAGCCACTTGAGACAAAGTCTGTTCTTCCACATCTAAAAAGTATTTAAACATGCCAATTTGATCAGCATCAGCATCTGGAGTTAACCTAGCATTTATTAATTAACCACTCTCCATGGACACGGCTCTCTGTGGTAGCCATGTTATTTATTTCTTGGCCCATCAGAGATTGTGGAGTAAGGTGAGCAGATTTTTCTCTAGAGCTGAAGTCACATGACAGGATCAACCCATAGCGCTCTTGAGGGAAGACTTGGGCATTCTGTTTGAGACACCCACTTAAAATATAACATATTTCTATAGTCTTTCTACTGAGCTATGACTCCTACTGTGCTTACAGAGGTCAAGCTCATGGTTTTCACTGTTCCGTATCATACCAACAGTTCCCCATTGGAAGTGTAGGCACCCGTGGCTGATGACCGATGGCCAGGGGCACAGGACACCTGCCCAGCTGTATACACGGTCTGTCCTGCAGATCTCTGCCTTGGGTGGTGGTAAGAAAACTTATGCAAAAGCTCTTAGTGCCAGGCTTCGTCACAGTCAAAGCTCATACATAGTTGCTGAACTGGAAAGCAGACGCATTTATTGAGCTCAGTTCCAGGGTGTACACTGTAAGGCAAGTTCCCTTCCCAAGGGAGCAGGAAATGATTGTGGCTGGCAGATGGAGGATTAATTAAAATGAGGCAAGGTAGGGTTCTCACACATTTCTGCTAAAATCTGGGAAGAAAACCATTTGAATTCCCTTTGCAAGAGCATTCCTGTCGTAGTTGAGGACAGGATTAATATTGGCAACATGCCTAGGAAAATAAATGGAAACTTCATGAATTTGATTTAAAAAATATGTCTAGTTTTTATTAATAAGCCTTCTGACACCTCCCTAAAGTGGTACCCGGAGTGGCAAGTGCAGCTAATGGTGTAAACGTAGCAATACCCACACAGGATGGCTCGCACTCGTGTTCGGCCTTTCTGGGTCTTCGCTTCAGGCCCGGGGGTGGAGGCATGGATTTCCAAGGAACCTGACAGCGTCCTCCTCAACAGGATGGGAAGGTGGCCGGAAGATCCTTGCGCTTCAGTGTCACCCCATGAAAACCTGGGAACAGCGTCTCCCAGACCTGCCTTCACTCCAGAATTATTCTGCCTCATGGTTTCGGTGTAATCTTTCTCCTTTTGTGTCCAAACCAGAACAATAAGATAAAAGTAGCCACCGTGAGGGACTTCAATGGCTCTTTAATAATTTCTGTAAACCTGGATGTTTCCCCAATAATTGCTACGTTCATTTCCGAATCCCTCACATTACTGAGCTCAGCGGATGAATTTGTAAAGCCTTGTGGCCCCTGTCATCCCTCCATCAGGTGCCCTGTCTGCCCTTTGCTTGTGTCTCTTAGGACCTGATGTTTGTTCCACTTTGGAGCTTGGTCTTGCGTGCTCCTCCCACCGCCCTGCTGGACAGAGTCCAGGCTCCCTGAGGGCGGTCCTGCCTCACCCTCCCTCCCCGCAACCCCAGGGCCAGAGCCTAGCAGAGTGCGGACCCGCTGACTGCTAACTGGAGGGAATGTCTGTTGTATTCAGTGACTTTAACAATGACCTAGAAATTATTTGAATGCAATAAAAAAGGGGTAGCGAGCAGGCTGCTCAGATCAAATTATTCAGTGTGTCTGATGGATATTAAAAAATTCCACTTAAAAATGCAATTAACGTTTTAATAAAAAAACTAATTCTGTCAAAGAACTATGGTGCTTTAAAAAGTTCTACATCAAATGATTAACATGCGGTTAAAACAAAACAAAACTGGAATGCTCTGATTTTGTAGATAGAATGTTCGCAGCAGTGATTTTTTTTAAAAAACTTCCCCCAAAGCAGAATAAACAAAATGGGTAGCTCTTTCCACCACTGGGAAATGGCACTTTTAAAACATATGAAATCTTTCTTTTTAGTGGCAGAGACACGGTCTGGCTTACATTTAGAACAGGAAGTTACCTGGGTCAGTTTAAGATTTGCTCTGTTTTAAAAATTCTTGTGTATAATACATTTTGATTGGATTTATTTTCATTTGATTTCACTCTTTACATCTCTTAAAGCCGATAATAGTACAGCACAAAGACCTTCCTAAAGGGATAGGCAGGTGTCCAGCACCTACAGAAAAAGCAGTATATTAAAAATGTGTTTTATCCGAGTCAATTTGGGTGGCTTCCTCTGTACTTCACTGAGATCCCTGTAGTTGCTATGTTTTATATCACTATTGGCTACGTTTAAAAAAGCCTTCCAAACATCACATATTTTACCCTTTGGCCTTCCAAAATAAAAATCACTGTCATACTAATTGCAACTGAATTAAAGTTGATATCCAGAAAAAGAGGGAAAGAAACGCGTCTCCTCATGCTATGGTTGAGGTCAAGGGCATTGTCCAACTAGCCAGACTGACGTTCCAGGAGCCTCATATTCCCTGGCTCTTCCCACAAAATCCCCTCCGTCTACTACAGTCTTGCCTCACCCCTTCTCTGTT